CCAGGACCAGGTCCAACAGGGCGTTTCTTCTGGTGGGACTGTGTACCTCCTGAATTAAATGGAGGTCCTGTATCTTGGCCAGGAACCTCCTGGAACGGGTCAACCTGGCTGGCTATTCCTCCCAGCAGACGTCCGGGTAGTTTAAATCTCCCATGACAACTACATCCTTTGCCTTAAGTGCCTCTGCAAGCTGGCCCAAAAATTCCCAGTCCAGCTCCTCCCTTTGGCTGGGGGGTCTGTAGTAGACCCCCACCATAAGACTAGAGGAAGGCTGCCTTCTGATGAGAGTATGCATTCTTACTACTGTCTGGAGTTCTAGGTTATGGAGGTACACACACATAAACAGGATATCCTAGGGAGCCCCAGCAGACGTGGTGGATGGATGGGATAAAATTAGTGTTTTGGTGACTTGATTCAGCTCCTTGACCCAAGCTGAATCTGCCCTAACAGAGGTGTAACTACTACTTCTGTGGCCTAGAAGGTGCCAGCAGCACACTGGGCAGGAACTGCAGCCAGGCTCCTGGTGAAAGTAAGAGGGGCTGGGTCAGCAACACAGCAGCTGCTGTTTTTGTGCTACTGCCTAGGTTGCCACCTGGGCCTCGTGTCCCAGAAGCCCCCCTTAGTTGCGCTATTGAGCCCTCACCTGCAAAATTTTACCAGGCTCCACTCAAGGGTAGTTTCTTCCCAGGGCAAGGTATCTTCTTTCTGTGAGAGCTGTGTGTAGTTGTCCTGTGGTAGCTCAGGTTTCCTGTCTGGGTTTTCTTTGTTTGTGTAGCCATCATTTAGGGATAATTAATCCTGTCCCAATGCAGGGAGATAGACTAGGTTAGGAGTGACCAAGATTATCTGCGTGCCGGATTTGGCCCACAGACAATGTCATCCAGCAAGTGTTGCTCCCCAGGGATATGGACATTTGGTGGCAGGAGAGCAGTGGTAGCATTAATTGCTGTGGCTCCAGAAGCCAAGGGTAACCTGCCACCAAATTTCTGGACCCATGGGGAGTCTGAGGAGCTGCATGCAGGACACTTTGTGCCTGATTGGGCCCTTGGACTGACTCCATTCGCTAGACAGGACCTGTAAGGCCAAATGAAGGGGCACTACTGGGATAGATGATCTCTTGAGGGTATCTCCAACCCTGCCCTTCCATGGTTTGCTTCAGCTTCTGTTGCCTTATTCTTTTGAAATCATCATTAGGATTCAGGAAAATTTAGAGTGGTATTCTCCAGTAGATCCCAAACATTGGAGCCCAAAGTGCTGGTCGTGGCTAACATGGTCAGACTAAGTATTTTGAGGATCAGCTCTGTGATTCTCTTTCTTTAAAACAGGGTTGGGCAAAATATGGACTGAGAGCCATATCCAGTCTGCCAATTGATTCTGTCTGGCCCATGGTGCCAGCAGAGGCCAGAGTTAGAGACACCACCCACTCATGGGCCAGATAGAATCAACTGGGAGGCCCACAAGTGGCGGGGCCACAGGCTCCAGCCTCTGCTGACATGGCAGGGGATGGTGGGCAAAAGCAGCTCCACTTGCCCACCTGTCCAGTACCACGTGGCAGCCTGGGAGATGGAGTCTGGTCTCTGTGGTGCTGGGAGGGCAGAGCTTCTTCCCTAGTGTCCCCTGCTGTGCCAGCAGCTAGAGCTGCACCCACCCACCTGGCACTGGATGGCAGGGTGACAGATGAGTGGGGAACTGAATCCTCTGTCCTAGACCCCCCAGCTGGGGTCTGCACAGCAGGTTGGGAGGAGAGGCTAAGACGTAGGGGCATACTCCCCC